TTCTTTGCCTAGGCCAATGTGTCTAAGAGTTTTTCTAACATTTTCTTCTAGAATTCTTGTAGTAAAGCTTGAAGTCTGGTAGAGTAATGCCTCCTAATTTGTTCTTTTTGCTTAAGATTGCTTTGGCTATGCAAGGTCTTTTCCAGTTCCACATGAAGTGTAAAAGTATTTTTTCTAGATCTGGGAAAAATGATGATGGTATTTTGATAGGGATTGCATTGATTCTGTAGATCACTTTAGGTAGTATGGACATTTTAACAATATTGATTGTGCCAATCCATGAGCATGGTAGGGTTTTCCATCTGTTTACATCCTCTACGGTTTCTTTTCTCAGTGTTTCATAGTTCTCCCTATATAAGTCTCTCACCTCCTTAGCTAAATATATAATTTTCTTTGACGCTATTGTGAAAGGTGTTGTGTCTTTGATTTGATTTTTGGCTTGACTGTTATTGGCATATATGAATGCCACTGATTTGTCTGCACTGATTTTGTATCCTGATACTTTACTGAATTCATTTATCAATTCCAGCTTGGTTGAATCCTTGGCTTGGACGATATAAAGGCATTATATGTAACCAAAATGTTTATACCCCCATAATATTCTGAAATTAAAAAAAAATAGAAAGTAAAACAAACAAATCAGTGAACAAAACAAACAAACTAAGTTAGGCAGTGGGGCCACTTTATGACCTGTGAAAGCCAGGCAGAGGGCTTTGGATATTGTGGTAGCTCATAGGGAGTCATAGTAAGTTCTGGATCAGGAGGGTGGCACTGTGGACATAGCAGATGTTTAGGGAAGAGAGACTCCCATACAGGCTAGACAAATCTGGGGGCTAGATCAGATGCGGAGAGAAAGTGAAGACCCTAGCGAAGGTTAAAGTTTTATAAAATATTGGCATAATGATAGTGGTGATAACATTTATTACATTTATTAGTAGCTAGATTAACATAATTAAACAGGGGATGATGGTACAAACTCACAGTTGTGTCCTGCAGCCTCATCATCAAGAAAATTTGGAAGAGAGCAACGGGACATATATTGGGTTAGAACTTCCAATCTGTAGGAACACACTGCTAATTCTGTACCAGTTCCTGCCTGGAAGAGTCCTGCCTTCAGAATCAGTGTCACACTGGCCTGTGACACTTCTCTGTTCTTGAGTGCTGTCACGTGTAACAGATGACGACAGCATTTGTGCTAGAAAGTGGTGGGAATCTTGTGGATATAGATAACGAGCTCTTCAGACAACCATGTCGTCTATGTCTTCTGTGTCCCTCGTGTATCTAGAATCCTGTTATGTTCTTACTAGGTATTTATTAACTCATTTTTGACCTTGACTCACAGAGGTGGATTAAAGGAAATCATTTAGTTTTTATAGGAACCAATTTAGACACAGCTTTGCCGAAAATCAGGGGGATTGACTAAGTGTTCTGCATAGCTCACTTCCTTTATTCTCGTAAAATCAGCTGGGTAGCCACATATATTTACCGAGCTCCTATGAGACAGGCGCTGTGCTCATGCCAAGGCTAAAGTGGTAAACAAAACCCTGCTGGTCTCTACCCCATGGAGTCCGTAGGCTATTGCAAATAACAATCATGTGTCAATCAATTAATTTAATTATAAATCACTAGC